CGGCACGTTGCCTCCGGCGGCCACGCTCATAACCTCACTAGGCGTCACTCTCGGCCCGGCCACGAAACGCTCGGCCACGCTCGGCCAGGCTCGGCCACGCTTGGCCAGCGCTGCGTATCGGCAGTCGATGCGGTGCGCTGCGGCCTGCGGGTCTGTAGGCCGGCGTTGTCGGCTCGATCAATGCCATGCCCGGCGTCCCCGCCGAGACACCCCGAGACAACCCCCAACTCCGTCCCACCTTACGCCGTCTGCATTCGATGCCGGAACGGGCCTTGAACTAGACCCAGTGGAATCCTCCCCCTCCCCCCCCACCTCCGCCAGCAGCGCTTCGCGGGGCAGAGCCACATTAGTAGATATGCAAAGCAACACGCACAACAGCGGTTGGCTTTCAGCCACTTTCTCTCCGTTCCTGCCACACTTCCGCGGCGCCCCGGGCCGCCTCCCGCCTATCTAAAGAAGCCCCTTGTTCGCCCGCTGGGCTACTCCCCCCCCCCTCCTCCGCTGCGCCGCCATAACCTAACCAGCAGCACTCTGCGAATAATCCTCCTCTCTCTCTATTTTTTTCCGCTCTCGTGGATTAATCACGCTCCGGATTAATGAGTTTGACTTTGCAGCCACTAGGCGGCCCCCAGACACGCGCAACACGCGCCGGCCCTCTGGTATGCGAGGCCGCCCCGCCTCGCCGAGGACCCCGTTTCGCTGTCCTCTTCATTTCGAGTGCTGGCGCCTGGCGCCCCCGGGGGGGTGCTCGTCGAATAGCCAAGCCAGCCAGCCGCTCGGACCAGTACGGCTAGGGCGGGGCGTGGCGGGGCGTGGCGGGCGGGGCGAGGCGGAAGGTAGTGGAAGTGATGGCCGCCACCCACTCGTCAACAAACTCAATTAGAGATTTGAAGCGGTGGGCGAGAGGCAGCAGGCCTGCCCAAGCACGAGCCTCCTGCCATTATTGCCACTTCACTTCAAGACGGCAGCAGCGCCACTCCTCGTGTTGCTTTCGCCCTCCCCGCGGATGAAGTCGAATAATATACATTTCCCCTCACTCACCTGGTGATACACTAAAGGCTTCTACGAATTGCTCTTTCCATGTGGATGTTCCTAGGATGGGGCCGGTCCCCCGCTGCATCATGGCGTCTACGGTACTCTGCAACAGCGTCAAGTACACAGTGAGGAAAGGGCTGCATTGAAGGTGCGATGAAGAGGCGGGCGGCACGAATCTCGTCTGGCTAAATAATTTATCTGAGAATTGATCAGAATCATGCACCATATGATTTGCATTGCAATTGTGGCGGTGACAGTGTCTTGTACAGCAGCAGTGATACTCATTCTCCCATGCACACAATATTCTCTCTCTCTCTCTCTCTCTCTCTCTCTCTCTCTCTCTCTCTCTCTCTCTCTGTGTATGTGTCGTGCTCCGTGCCACGTGGCACAGTGCGGATGTGGCAGTGAGGATGTGGGTGAGTGACAATTGCAGCATGCTCGGGCGTGTCGTGCTTTCCGTTGTGCGCAGGCGTAGACGAACCTGCCATTTGCACAAGACAATGAGAGATGGTAAACTATGCTATTGCTAAGAGGTACGTACAACAGCGAAGGGGCGACAACTTTCGATTAAGGATGTACCAGGTGGCTGATTCACGCCGCACACCTCAGTAATTATGCTGTACCGCATGCACAAGTGCGGGCGGGCTTGCCTATCGCCCCTGTCCACGGCGCCTTACGGGCCGAGCGAATAAGCAACCCGCCCGCACTCGTGCATGCGGTACAGCATAACTACAGAAGTGCGCGGCGTGAATCAGCCACCTGGTACACAGGATTACGTGGTCACAGGGATTACACATGAATTTTGAGGGATTACATTTATAATGAGGCGAAATTAAGTTATATTTTTACAAAATTTGGATAAGTATTACAAGGATTACATATTCCAAATGTACACAGGGTTGCGGTAGTCGTGGCCCCCTCGTACAACAGCACAAATAGCAGCTAACTTGCTATAATAATGAGTGTCCTTATAAAAGCGAATTGTTTTCGCACTTTTAAGGTCTGATCTGTGCATAATAGAGACAGTGTATACACTGTCAAAAAAATTGTTGTACATTGTTTCTTTGCACGTACCAGAACAAGCTGGTTTTCCTAAACTACACTGCAAACCTTTGAGTGAGGTGTCGTGCTCGAAATGAGTGAGGCAATTTTGCCTCGCCCAATCAGAGCCGAATTCTCACTCTGAAGGAGTAAGATTTCCGTGACCTCGCCCAATTGAAGTGAGGAACCTCAATCTCATAAGGTAAAGACCGTAAATTGAGTAAGAAAAATAATGTTCTCAAGAGAGCAACATTTTTTGGGTCGATGATCTCACTCTTCTTAGTGCAAGATATCTGACAGTAGCAATTTCAGTGTAGCATATTATTTTAGCTGAGCACTGGTTTAGTGTCCGGGTGAGAGATTTCTAGTTCCACTTAACTGCTTAGCACTGGGAGCTAAACACAGCACCCTACAGCACCCGATTATAGCAGGACGCCCTGCCCAGCCTGACTGCACAAGAAACTTAATGGAAAGGCAATATAATTGCGACCTGCGACAGGGCAAAGTTGGAAGCTAGAGACAAACGTTTTGTGCCCGACGTACAAATGGAAAAAAATTCTCATTGCCCTGTAAAATGCTTGGAAACTATTTCCTTAGAAAAGTGTTGCAAAGAATTGTAGATCTTTGTGTTGTTCGTATTGAAAAGCAATTCTTTCAATACTGTCAGGTTCCTTCCAAACTGTGTGATCGTATGGCTCACTGCAAAACTTCAAACTGCAAACTGCAAAGAATTCTGAAGCATTTTAAGGAAGTTTGAATTGCTTCTTATTTTCTTCGTAAATTGCGGAAAAATAGTTGGCTAGTTCTTTGCAGCGTTATGAACAATTTTCTTCGTAAGATGCGAAGAACTAGTTCGCAATGTGAAGGATTTAGTTCGCAATGCAAAGCATTTTACGCTTCAAAATTATTTGCAATTGCAAAGAATAATACTGTGCAAGCTTTTTATAGTGCAAAGCAACAGTCTGCAGTCTTGCGCAAAACTAGTTCGAATCACAACACTGTGAAAAAAGTAGGTAGGTTCACAGGAAAATTTTCCTTGACGCAAGTTGTAAAATTACAATTTGTAATCGTAAAAATACATGCAGTATGTATCGACTTCAAGTCCCTTGGCGAGTAAAAAATGTGCTGTCGTAAATTTACAACTTAAATTATAATTCGAGTTTACAAAATTTTTGTAAATTTACCACGATATTTTTTACAGAGCAAGGTTTTGAAATTCTTTGAGAGATAAAAAGAAAATCGTCTGCAAAACAAACCTATTCTTTGCACGCATTTTGCAGTGTACTCTCTTCCGTATGGCATGGCCCCAGAATGGCGCGTGCAAAGACACAACCAGCACTTTTTAGTATTTTAACAACAACCTTCTATTGCTTAAAACTGATGAGAGCGTTTAGGATTTTCAACAGTTTTCCAAGTCAACAGGTTGGTCAAAATAACATTAAATGAAGTCGAAGTGCAAGATTTAGTGTTAGTTATTTGGTTGTCTGCTTTAATGTCAGTTTGGTAAATCAAAATGACATTAAATGATGTTCAGATAACATCATAACAAGTCACTCAACTACACTGCTACACTGCTGCAACATGTCGCTTTCTAAACGACCAGAGAAGGTCCTCAGGCTGAGCCACAGTCTGGGTCACCTTGCGACCTCCAGACCCTCGCTGCAACAATACGCGATGTCTCACGTAGGGTCATACAACCCTCTACGGTGAGAAATGTGATCCTGCTGTCTATAGTGAAGAGCTGGCCGCAGTAATGAAATACGCATATGTACACATCCAGCTACAGACACTACTTGAACGTACTCCTTTACTTTTGCCGCTGAAGATTCTCACTGCTTCCTGAAAAACAGAGCAATCTGTTAGGTTATGTGCCATGCTCTTTTAATTATCGGCGGGGGTAAACAAATTAGGAACAAGCCACACGCTTTAAAAGGGAAAACGCGAGAGGAGTAAAGCTTAAACGCCATTCCAAAACCTTTGCAGCAAGCCAAAAACGTCAAAAAAAAAGGGGGGGGGGTTGAAAAAACATACCAAGGCATGCTTAGCTCAAAAATTCAGAACAGGCAAAATACAAAACGATCCCGCAGTATAAAAGGGAAATAATCCATGCATTTTTCTTTACAAGCCTTAAATTAGTTTGTACACGAGAAAAATGTACATCGGCCTCCTTCCTGTGATGTAACGAGTACGTCATCGCTTACTTTTTCCAGTATGTCGTAATGACCAGAGCCTGCGAGCGTGCAGTCATATCTTTTAGCTGGACAAGAGACCAGGGTTAGGAGAGGGAGAGGTAGGCATGCAACCCCTAGCCCCACGGAATGTCTGAATGCATGACCGGCAAACGGCGTGGCACTCATCGCGAAACGACCGTGAACGCACACAAATGAGCGCTCATGTGAAGAGTTGAGGGGATAAGGGGTGGGGGTGGTGGGATGAGGGCTGAGCAGAGTGGCCTGCGGCAGACATCAAGTATTCATGGAACACACGACACTGTGCTCCGGGGTGCGGAACGGAAGTGGAGGGGGAGGGGGATCAACCTAATCTCCTACCTGTTCATATCTCACCTTGGGAAATCAATGGCAGACGGAGAGGGAAGAGGAAAAGTAGTCTGCCGCCGTTATTGGCGAAATGTGAAGGAGGGGAAAGGGGGGGGGAGGGGCGACGACGCTCAGAGAAAGACGTCGCGCCTTTTATACAGCACGGTCTGCCGTTTACGAGGGGATTCCCAGAATTCCAAAGTGAAAATCCTTACTCCACGTCTACGGAAATAAATCGTTTCCTTTTACACTATTCACGATTACAAAATATTACAAGAGGTAAAAGTTTAGCAATTCATGAAAAAAAGGTCCAAGTTCACAAGGGGGATGTTGAGTGAGTGAAAGTGGTTCGTTTTTAGATCCAATACATTAAATCTATTTGAATCGCTTTCAAATCTATTATTGAATCCCTTTGGAATTACTTTTCAATCAATTTTAAATGGCTTAAATCAATTAATCAATTATGGATCTCATTTGATCAATCGCTTTTGAAACGAAGTTTGAATCGATTGAGAATAGCTTTTGCTTGCTTATGAATCTCATTTGAAACGCGTTCGAATCTCTTTTGAATAGCCGATGTATTTCTTTTAAACCACTCGGGAAATGTCATTCTATTCTAATTCATGCGTCTATTTTTTTGAAATGGCAGGCGATCTTCAGAAAAAAAAATGCAATTGTTTTCACTCCTTGATAGTGAATCCAGTCAAAGTGAGGGAGCGTTGGTGGGGCGAAGTTCCGATCGAATTGTTAATTGTTGGGTTGCGTTAGCCCGCGACAGGCGCTGAAAGGCAACAGGTGGTTGCGAACTATTCCCGCACCAGACAGCGTCCGTGCGCTCGCCCATGCGCCACGAGTTCTGTGAAAATAAAACGACCCCTAACGAACGGGATCGCCTGAAAAGAACAGAGGTCTTTTAAGGGAGAGAAGCTGAGCAGGGGACAGTGAGCGGTCGGTGTGATGACAAGAAGAAGAGAAGCAGAAAAAGCGAGTTTAATTCAGAGAATACAAGAGTCGGAACAGAAATAAAACGTCTCCGGGGTTGCCAATCTCACGGCGCGCGCTTGTTTTTGCTGCGAGCGACGACGGGGAGGGTCGGGAGGATGTGCGCGCGTCGCGCCTCACGCGCCTCACGACGGCTCCGCCCCGACTCGTAAACCCGCCACTGCTTGATATTCAGCAACGAGACGACGCTGGCGTCGGAGCGCCGAGCCGGCGAGCCGCCCTTTACGTCGTGTCCCCCAGCGCCGGTCGCGAGGCGTTCAATCCTCAACCTCAGCTCGACCGTCCCGCCCCCGAGCCGGCGTCAGCCCTAGCTGTGTCCAGCTAAGAGAAAAACACGGTCCCGGATTGCTATAAGGACCCGAGATCGGGGATCTCGGGCGCGAGGTGCGCCCGATGTGACTCGGCTCTCTTAACTGTATATAACTCCTGACGCGGGCCTGCGGCTTGGCGGGACCGGGCGGGGCGTGGCGGGGCGAACCGCACAGTCAACATCAGCAGAGAAGAGGTTGAGGTCAAGTTTGCGCGCGGTCGGGTCGGGCCAGGAGTTGAAGCGGGGGTGAGAGCATCGCTCACTCCGAGTTTCGGCGCCATATTCATCACCACAGCGGAGAGGAGCAGGGCGAGGGGTGAGGCGAGGCGAAGTGAGACGGGGAGAGGCGGGGCGCGCGGGGCAGGGCGGGGCGGGTTGGTGCGGGGCACGGGCTGGCGTAATGTCTGCCGCCGAAAGCCCACCAGCCCGACATTCTTTGCGCCGCTCCATATAATTTGACGCCCCTTTTGCAAGCAGCGCTTGGTAAGAGATTTTTAAAAATGTGATGGTGGAAAAACTTGCAGACATAGTGTACAATGTGTCTTGACTGGTCCATCCGGGATTCAGCAAATAAAATAAAGTAAGTCCGTCACTGGCCGTTAGGAAACTGACAAGTTCGGCCTGTTTGCGGCCCGTCATATCGCCTGATGGGTAGGCAACATCTTGCCTGCTGCGCATGCGTGTGCTGCGGGTTGGCCTACCGTAAGTGTCGCAGGCGCCGATCTCCCAAAGTTTGCCGAATGAATATGAGAAAAACGGACGCACGTACTGATGGTTCTAATTCAAGGCATCTTTAGCGTTCAGCTCGGCCTTGAGACAGGAATTGCTAGTAGTGTTCAATACCGTTGTTCCCGGTTGATCGACACCTTTGCAATAGGCTTAGAGGAAAAACTCTGCATATATTTCTCATTATTGTGTTTGCATAAAATACACACACGCACACTTCCTCATTGTTAGAGTGTCAAGATTTTTTACAACAATTCATGTTTCATACCAGCCACTGACGAATTGAATGGTTCCATAGGATTTTGCCAGCAGTGCGGTCTGCGGTCGGAAGAGAAGAATGGAACAGTGGATGGGAGTGGATGGGCGCGGTATTTGGTGTGGGGTTGAAAAGAGGGGGGGGGGGTGGATGCGCCGAGTGCGCCGCGGAGTGCGTCCGCAATAATTACTGTACGGGCAGGACAGGCG